AAGCACTCAGCAAATAAACAGTTAAGCAGGACTTTCCAGCTAAAATATAATGCTATTAACTGTGCATTAAATTATGAAGTCAGATTTTATAAAAATAATAAAACGCTTATACGTCATTAAGGTCAATAAATATTGAATATCTTAAGGATGCGTAGCTTACGTTTTTCAACAAATTATAACAACCCAAAAAAATATTATTAAAATAATGAACAATTCAGTATCCAACGTACCCACGTTTGTACAAACTCACTACTCTAAAAAATACCGATTAAATAGAATTCTCAGTCGATTTGCATGTCAACATGAAACTTTTGGAGAACTTCATCTACTCAAAAACTTGGTCACATATACAAAACAACAAAAAAATAAAAATAAATAAAGCACTCCATTGTAATACCAATATATTCTTCGCGCTTCATTCAGAATATAAATGTAGTAAAAAGAAAAAAAAATGTTATAACAATAATATTCATGATAAATTCACAAGTAAAATAAGTGATTATGGTTGAAAATATTATTTGAGAATCTGTTAACGGAGAAATATAAATGTAAAATTCATAATAGCAATTGATTTTAATCGACTATCGTTTCCAGATTTTAAATACGTGGAAAATTGAAGAACGAAGATAATTATCAAATTGTTAAAATTATTTTGCAACACAAACCGTTATAGGATGACCTATACTCATAGTGTTTGTTTTTTTAATGCATAACTTTAAGAATTTTGAAAACTTGACCCGAACATATAGTTAAAAAAAAAATAATAATAATAAAATATAAAATGAAAACTTAAACATCCGGCACATCTATATCTAAACTTTATTTTTTTTATCAAGTTAATACTAGAGATATAAAAGTAAAAAGTTTTCAGTCAAATTCATCAAATTAAATTTGCCATAGAACAGTGATAAAATCACAATTATTCTAGAAAAACAGACTTTTTTAAAATGGTGTTCGTACAGAAACACGCGAATAAAATACGTGACGGCAAAAATAATTACATAAATTCACAACAGCACGGATTAATGACACTTAAAAAAAATTATGTACAACGCGATTTCCCGTTCGGTAATCGTTTTTCCGCAGTCACACAATTTAGTAACGCGGTGATATATATACGAACACAATCGTATCGGTGAGTTATTAATAATTTATGGCGATCGTACGAAAAGGAAACGTGTTTAAAATCAGCATTTCCATGGCACGCATTGTACGCAACTGTAGTACGTCCACGACCGGAAACGAAAATCCGTAAAACGTCGGCCGGGTAAGATAGCCGGACGCGCGTTCGCGCTCGCTTACCCTTCTGCTCGGGTGTCGGAAACATCGATGCCGGTATGGAAACTTGAAAATTTGCACGCGAACGTCGCACGGCTGCACGGCAGAACCTAAAGGTTTCGACGGTGCGCGCGCGCGGTATATCATTCAATTCGTTTCCGAACGAGAGTGCACCGTGAGGCGAACACGAAACGCGCGGTTGATCGAGAACACCACGAGTACACCGTGTACACGGTCAACGATGTAAAATAGCTGTACCCAATATTAACCCGCGGACGTATGATAATAATAATTATACATTTATAGCGAACGACGTCGAGTGTTTTGTCGAAGAATGCCGATCAATTACGTACACGTATTCCGTGCACGGTGACGTTTAATATTTAAGATGGTAACACGCGGTCGTAATGAAACGGTTCCGTTACGCTTCCGCGTAACGGACTTGTTCGGCCGAACTCGTTATAATAATCTTACTCGAACTGCGTTCGCGCGCACGTAAAAAATAAACCGTCGTAAGAAGACTTGCGCGTGTAGTCGGTTTCGTTTTTGAAAACCGTCCGCCGCCGTTACCGTCGAGAGAGAAAAAAAAATAAAACCCGCGGAGACCGAAACCACCGCCGAGGATTACGATATAATAACACCTTTGAAACGGATCGCGGCCGAGCCTAGGCGAAATCGAAAACGATACGGTAATGATGTGCATCATTCGACTGTTAAAGACGGCACAAATATTTCATTATGTATACAATATATATGTACGTTATTTTTAAATCCTTTCAAATAAATAACGGTATCTTCGATACCCGCACGAACGACACGGGTCGAACAATAGTAGTATTGACATCCCTACATTAAAAGGACATGCCCAAGGTCCATGCCGCCGCATGTGCCTATATAACAGGGACACACACACACACACACACACACTCCACTCACAGAGAGTCCTTGATCTTAGGTCGTCAGTGCATGCGCACCGATCATGAGATCAACGACGAGCGATTTATATGTTTACACACGCGATTTGTTTTCAATCATTTAAGTTTAACTGAAATAAAAGAAAAAATATTGAATTATTTTAATCTGTTCGACTTGCGTTCTTCGTACGAGCGTTGAAGAATACCCAGTTCTGGTGCCATTAAATTCCGCATTTGTTCTTTCTTTTTCAACCTCGCGTCGACATCAGAAGTTCTGCGGCGAACAAGTAAGTGCTGTTTTATTTGGCTTGGCACACTGCGCAATTGCACTGATCGGCTCTCGAACCTTCTCAACCCCGAGAGCCCTCCCTTAAACAAGGAGGAAGGTAACAACCCGTTCATACCACATCGCATACATACCTACTACTTATTTTATTTTTGTACTTTTGGGTTATTACAATACGGCGTTCCGGTTGTTTTACGCAAGCCCGACACGTCTCCGTCCGTAGTAGGCGAGTCGGCTTGAATATCGATTACAATATTAGACGACCGGCGGGGCGGGGGAGGAGGGGGGGAAAGACGCGTCTCGCGACGGTCGATCGTCATGCGCGCATTACGACGCATTACGCTCGATCCTGTCGTGGGTTTCCTTTGATTATCATATCTTAACGACGTCGCGCACACGTCCGTCAACCGGACAACCGTTGTTCGACGCTGCGGCTCCGTTCGTCGGTCGCGCGAAGATCGTAATTGCTACGCGTTACCGTGTTACGCGAGTGCAGTGAACGCCGTCGCGTTTCTCGCGTTTTGTAAAACGCGAACCGAACGGAACCGAAGAGCGGCGATAAGAGTTTCGCGTCGGGGCTGTACTTTTTAAACGGGAAACCCGAGAGCACATAACGCGCACGCGGTCCGCGTACAATCGCCTACGCCCTAGCCGTTCCGCGCCGGACAACCGTGTCCGCGGACTTTTGCCGCCGTTCACGAACGCAGAACGGTCGAGTCGCGGTCGGTCATCGACGAACGCGTCTACACGCCCGGAGCAATGCGGTAAAATACGAAGGGTACTGCTACCTCTGTCGACCGATGTAATCGTTGCACTGATCGTAAAAACTGAAACGTCAAAGGAATTATTTTTCTACGATTCGTAACGATTAATCGTCGCGGAAGAAAAATGAAAAGGTTTCGACCGGTCTGTGAACACTTTGATCGATGTATGTGTACTGAAGTCGATCGGAACAAATGCATATTAGACCTCATATCAACGCGTAGTGAACTATACATCTGTAGAGATTGGAAAAAAATAAATGCTCGAACGCGGAACCGACGAGGACGACAACATGTTCAATACATAGCCTACCTGGCTACTCGATATCGAGAACTTTCGAGGATTATTTTCGCACGAATTGTAAACATCATACGAATGGATTACAAATAGCTTACAAAATAACAACGCTGTGAATTTGAAAAGAAAATCTCCCCATGGTTCGACATAATTTGTTGTTGTTGCGCACATCGGTTGCTTGACGTGTGTTTGTGATAAACGGCTTCGAAGGATTTCGATATCACGACACTATAACAGTGTCCTAGGAATGGAAATGATTCCAGAAGTTTGACGAATCAATTGATGCGATTGACTACTGCGGTGGCTCAGGAGTTTATCGTGGCCCACGCACGTGCAGACGTGCTGAATCAAATACTGTTTTGAAGTCAACATCGCTGTTTCGTTCAGCCACGGATTTGTACATACGATCCGCGTTTTAATTCTATACATAAACTAAATCGACGATTAAATGCCAATCGACATCATACTAAAACGTATATCCTCTCGAGTGCGTCACTTTTTGATTCAACCCGGTTTCGCGGTCGGTCGTGATACATGCGGGTTATCGCGGTTAACGAACACTGAAATATTTAAAATGGCTCTGTATCGCTCTGTATACACTGGAATTATGTTGCAACCGAGCGCTCTGTATGCGCGCGCAGCGAGTGTGTTGTCATTGCGGTGGCAAACACAGATTATTACCATCGTACGTCAATGTTTCACGATGGCATTCGTTACGGACGATGACGATGACAACGTCGGCGCGTATGACGTGTGTGAAATAATAATAATAACGACGAACGAGCGCGTGTAGAGAGTACAGAAGAGACTGTTATTAACCGCTGTACGGACTAATAACGTGAGCGCGCAGGGATACAGCGGGAAAAATACCATAAGTGTACGAGCGCGAAACAAAAACGGCCACGGTCGGCGAACGAAAGTCGAAATTGATATGGTTTGGAAAATTGAATAACGTCCGCGGTGAGTTGTTGCCGATCGATAGTGTTCGATTTGATTTCCACGTGCCGCGAATAACGTTCGATCGACGATTTTCGACTATGGCGAACGATCAATAGATCCCTTGGGCCAAACGATTCATTCGATCAGTAATCGTTATTATATCGAGGAGCGTTTGTTTTAAGAACAATGGTTTTATTGTTTTTTTGGAAAAAAAAAAAAAAAAAACCCCAAATTTTTCAATCCTTGAAAACGACAAGAGGAACGTGACCGTTTATACGACGGAGAACGACCGCCAATATCTGACCGCGAACAACGGAAGGCGGAACACGAGGACTTCTCTACGGCGTTCGCGCGGATCGAAAACGTTGAACGCGTTTCGAACGGAAGGGCGTCGGCGGTCGGGGTGGGGCGAGGGGGAAAAGCGCGCGTCAACGGCCGCCGCCCAGAAGCACGTGGCGACCGGCACAACCTGTCCCCACTCCGCGGCCGCCGCCGCGAATCGCGGTGCAGCGCGCGCCACGTACCGGGTAGGATGCTGCCCAGCGACTCGCAGCTGAACCGCCGTCCGTCGTCGTCATCGTCGGCCACCAGCCGCTGTTGCTGTTGCTGTTGCTGTTGCTGCTGCTGTTTGTGGTGCCCACGTCGTCGCTGCAACCGTCGGTTCAGGTGTTCCGCGTCTTCGGACGGGTCGTCGTCGTCGTCGTCGTCGTCGTCGTCGTCGTCGCCGTCGCCGTCGGCCTCGTCGCCGTTCTCG